AGTTTCTGTGTGCTTTTCTCCTACCACCCCCTTCCCTTTTTTTTTTTTTTTTTCCTTTATTGTGTATTTAAAGGTTACAAAACATACAAGACAAATGCCTAAAGGTTATGGATCTCTTGAAGCTCCTCCGCTTCTGGACAGGAACCGAGGACGCAGCAAGCATTTCCCCTTTGGATCGCCACACTGAGACGCTGAAATAAAAAACTGGAAGCCCTTGGGTCTCTGGTGACGTCAATGAGCTTGGACCCCAATTCCTTGAGAAATCCCAAGGCACTCTTGCCCCAGGGGCCATGCGTATATATATATATATATATATATTCCGTTATCCCTGGGAGTTAAGTGGGGTCTGGCGACTGGCAGAACAGCCTGTGACTGTTGACAAGTGGCTGTTGACTAGTGACTGTTGACAAGTGGCTGTTGACTAGTGACTGTTGACAAGTGGCTGTTGACTAGTGACTGTTGACAAGTGGCTGTTGACTAGTGACTGTTGACAAGTGGCTGTTGACTAGTGACTGTTGACAAGTAACTGTTGACAAGTGGCTGTTGACAAGTGACTGTTGACAAGTGGCTGTTGACTAGTGACTGTTGACAAGTGGCTGTTGACAAGTAACTGTTGTCAAGTGACTGTTGTCAAGTGACTGTTGACAAGTGACTGTTGACACGTGACTGCTGACAAGTGACTGCTGATAAGTAACTGTTGACAAGTGGCTGTTGACAAGTGACTGTTGACAAGTAACAGTTGACAAGTGACTGTTGACAAGTAACAGTTGACAAGTAACTGTTGACAAATGACTGTTGACAAGTGACTGTTGACAAGTAACTGTTAACAAATGACTGTTGACACGTGACTGCTGACAAGTGACTGTTGACAAGTGACTGTTAACAAGTGACTGTTGACAAAGGGAGCTGACCAGATCCACATACACGTGGGGGCAATGATCACAACATAGTTAGTCATGCCACAAATTACTGGAACTAAAATACCTAAATAAATAATATGCAGTAATAGAATTACTCTCTAGTAACGAAAGACTGGCTGTTGCAAGAACGCTACAGATAGCGGCTAGTGACTGGCTGTTGCAAGAACGCTACAGATAGCGGCTAGTGACTGGCTGTTGCAAGAACGCTACAGATAGCGGCTAGTGACTGGCTGTTGCAAGAACGCTACAGATAACGGCTAGTGACTGGCTGTTGCAAGAACGCTACAGATAACGGCTAGTGACTGGCTGTTGCAAGAACGCTACAGATAACGGCTAGTGACTGGCTGTTGCAAGAACGCTACAGATAACGGCTAGTGACTGGCTGTTGCAAGAACGCTACAGATAACGGCTAGTGACTGGCTGTTGCAAGAACGCTACAGATAACGGCTAGTGACTGGCTGTTGCAAGAACGCTACAGATAGCGGCTATAGTGACTGGCTGTTGCAAGAACGCTACAGATAGCGGCTAGTGACTGGCTCTGCCGTTGTGCAATACCACCTGTTGCATGCAGTTCCTCCGTGCAACAAAACACTGCAATATACATCGAAATTCAATCTCAGAATACAGTATGTCTGATGAACACCAATGACAAAACCTGGAAACACAAACCGAAACTGTCTCTATTTTCCGCTTGCTACAACTTGTAATAAAGTTGTTACATCTTGGCTTAACGTGTTTATGACGTATTAGAACGTTGTTACAACTTGCTATATTGGTTGTTATTACTCGTTAGGGGGTGTTAAAACTTGCTCGAACGTTGTACCAACGTCGTAGTTTCGGTGTTTGGCGGGAACTCGTCATTCTAAGTTACGGAGATGTTAGTTTGATCAAATTTAAAGAGAGATTTTTGAATTATAAATTAATATAACGGAATATAACGGTAAAACGGTATAACAGTAAAACGGAAGACTGCTAGGAGGAAAGCTCCAATACCGATTGATGCTCGAACGGTCGGAAGAACCACAAGACGAAGAGGAACCAGGAGAAAAATTCACGAAGCAGTTACGCAAGCACTTACGAACGTGTACATCTTTCCTCAATCTTTGACGGCTTTGGTTACATTTATTAAACAGTTTACAAGCATGAAAACGTCCCAATCATCTGTTGTTATTGTTATAAACAGCCTCCTGGTGCTTCGGGGCTTATTAACTGTTTAATAATTGTAAACAAAGTAGCCAAAGATTGAGAAAAGATGTACAGGTTCGTAAGTGCTTGCGTAACTGCTTCGTGAATCTGGCCCCAGGTTACTTAAGCTCATTTCTTAAGCACTCCGCCCCTTATCTTATGAGCTCGAGTGATGCCCATACCCGTCCTGTAAGTGGTTGTGGACCCCATACCCGTCCTGTAAGAGGTTGTGGACCCCATACCCGTCCTGTAAGTGGTTGTGGACCCCATACCCGTCCTGTAAGTGGTTGTGTACCCCATACCCGTCCTGTAAGTGGGTGTGGACCCCATACCCGTCCTGTAAGTGGTTGTGGACCCCATACCCGTCCTGTAAGAGGTTGTGGACCCCATACCCGTCCTGTAAGTGGTTGTGGACCCCATACCCGTCCTGTAAGTGGTTGTGGACCCCATACCCGTCCTGTAAGTGGTTGTGGACCCCATACCCGTCCTGTAAGAGGTTGTGGACCCCATACCCGTCCTGTAAGTGGTTGTGGACCCCATACCCGTCCTGTAAGTGGTTGTGTACCCCATACCCGTCCTGTAAGTGGTTGTGTACCCCATACCCGTCCTGTAAGAGGTTGTGTACCCCATACCCGTCCTGTAAGTGGGTGTGGACCCCATACCCGTCCTGTAAGTGGTTGTGGACCCCATAACCCGTCCTGTAAGTGGTTGTGGACCCCATACCTTCCTGTAAGTGGTTGTGGACCCCATAACCCGTCCTGTAAGTGGTTGTGTACCCCATACCCGTCCTGTAAGTGGGTGTGGACCCCATACCCGTCCTGTAAGTGGTTGTGGACCCCATACCCGTCCTGTAAGAGGTTGTGGACCCCATAACCCGTCCTGTAAGTGGTTGTGGACCCCATACCCGTCCTGTAAGTGGTTGTGTACCCCATACCCGTCCTGTAAGTGGGTGTGGACCCCATACCCGTCCTGTAAGTGGTTGTGGACCCCATACCCGTCCTGTAAGTGGTTGTGGACCCCATAACCCGTCCTGTAAGTGGTTGTGTACCCCATACCCGTCCTGTAAGTGGTAGTGGACCCCATAACCGTCCTGTAAGTGGTTGTGGACCCCATACCCGTCCTGTAAGTGGTTGTGGACCCCATACCCGTCCTGTAAGTGGTAGTGGACCCCATAACCCGTCCTGTAAGTGGTTGTGTACCCCATAACCGTCCTGTAAGTGGTTGTGGACCCCATACCCGTCCTGTAAGAGGTTGTGGACCCCATAACCGTCCTGTAAGTGGGTGTGGACCCCATACCCGACCTGTAAGTGGTTGTGGACCCCATACCCGTCCTGTAAGAGGTTGTGGACCCCATAACCCGTCCTGTAAGTGGGTGTGGACCCCATAACCCGTCCTGTAAGTGGGTGTGTACCCCATACCCGTCCTGTAAGTGGTTGTGGACCCCATACCCGTCCTGTAAGAGGTTGTGGACCCCATAACCGTCCTGTAAGTGGGTGTGGACCCCATACCCGTCCTGTAAGTGGGTGTGGACCCCATACCCGTCCTGTAAGTGGTTGTGGACCCCATACCCGTCCTGTAAGTGGTTGTGGACCCCATACCCGTCCTGTAAGTGGTTGTGGACCCCATAACCCGTCCTGTAAGTGGGTGTGGACCCCATACCCGTCCTGTAAGTGGTTGTGTACCCCATACCCGTCCTGTAAGTGGTTGTGTACCCCATACCCCGTCCTGTAAGAGGTTGTGGACCCCATACCCGTCCTGTAAGAGGTTGTGGACCCCATAACCGTCCTGTAAGTGGGTGTGGACCCCATACCCGTCCTGTAAGTGGTTGTGGACCCCATACCCGTCCTGTAAGAGGTTGTGGACCCCATACCCGTCCTGTAAGTGGTTGTGGACCCCATACCCGTCCTGTAAGAGGTTGTGGACCCCATACCCGTCCTGTAAGAGGTTGTGGACCCCATAACCCGTCCTGTAAGTGGGTGTGGACCCCATAACCCGTCCTGTAAGTGGGTGTGGACCCCATAACCGTCCTGTAAGTGGGTGTGGACCCCATAACCCGTCCTGTAAGATGTTGTGGACCCCATAACCCGTCCTGTAAGTGGGTGTGGACCCCATACCCGTCCCGTTAGTGGGTGTGGACCCCATAACCGTCCTGTAAGTGGTTGTGGACCCCATACCCGTCCTGTAAGAGGTTGTGGACCCCATACCCGTCCTGTAAGTGGTTGTGGACCCCATACCCGTCCTGTAAGTGGATGTGGACCCCATAACCCGTCCTGTAAGATGTTGTGGATCCCATAACCCGTCCTGTAAGTGGGTGTGGACCCCATAACCGTCCTGTAAGTGGGTGTGGACCCCATAACCCGTCCTGTAAGATGTTGTGGACCCCATAACCCGTCCTGTAAGTGGGTGTGGACCCCATAACCGTCCTGTAAGTGGGTGTGGACCCCATAACCGTCCTGTAAGATGTTGTGGACCCCATAACCCGTCCTGTAAGTGGGTGTGGACCCCATAACCCGTCCTGTAAGTGGGTGTGGACCCCATAACCGTCCTGTAAGATGTTGTGGGCCCCATACCCGTCCTGCGGGTGGTAGTGAACCTCATACCAATCCTGTGAGTGGTAGTTGAGCCCATACCCATCCTCTGACTGGTAGTGGACCCCATACCCATCCTGCGTGAGGTAGTTGACTCCATACCCATCCTGTGGATGGTAGTGGACACCATACCCTTCCTGTGGGTGGTAGTGGATCCCATACCAATCCCGTAGGTATGCGGAGGCACTACATACAAGTATATGAAATTTTACAATTAAAACTATCGTAGTTCTCTCTATATATATATACTTGCTATTCTACCAATTAATGAATTAGCGAACAATCATTTGATGTATAATATTCTTACCTGTGAGTTCCCAGCCAGCATCAGGCCTCCCGCCAGCATCCAGAGCAGAAACATCTTGCTGACACAATGTATCAAGCACGCTGTCCTCAGGAAACTAACAATGGATATATATATGCGTCGACTTGATTCCTGTATGTTGGAAATGCTCCCTTTCCCTTGTGTATGGGAGATGGGAAGGTGGTGAGCCCACGACTGTCGTGGAGCTCAACACACCGGCCCTCAGGGAGTGAGAGCGAGAGAAAGAGAGAGAGATTGAGGCGCTCAGAGCCGCTTGCTAGTCAACTAACATTGGTTGAGGGGCCCTTATGATTGCTGAGGCGTTATCTATAACATCGATCTTGCTGGTGATAACGACTGACGTCACTAGTCTCCGCCTCTTCTGGCCCCTTTTACCTCGTCAACTTGGGTCATCTTAATTACCAAAAGTCGCAGGTGTGGAGGTCTTAGCCAGATTCACGAAGTAGTTGCGCAAGTACTTACGAACCTGTACATCTTTTCTGGATCTTTGGCGGCTTTGTTTACAATTATTAAACAGTTAATGAGCTCCGAAGCACCAGGAGGCTGTTTATAACAATAACAACAGTTGAATGGCAAGTTTTCATGCTTGTAAACTGTTTAATAAATGTAACCAAAGCCGTCAAAGATTGAGGAAAGATGTACACGTTCCTAAGTACTTGCGTAACTGCTTCGTGAATTTGGCCCCTTGAGACTATGTTATTTATGACTGATCAGTGTTGCTTTATGACTGATCAGTGTTGCTTTATGACTGATCAGTGCTGCTTTATGACTGATCAGTGTTGCTTTATGACTGATCAGTGTTGCTTCTGTCAAGTGAAGCACATGGGCTCATGTTGCGCCTTGTCTCAACACTGTGTTGTATATCCCATGATAAATTCATAATGTCTAAATGCTTAAATAATTATCTTAAGTGGATTTGCGAAGGGTCAAATTAGCACTAAATATTAAATGCTACATTATTTATATATATATATATATATATATATATATATATATATATATATATATATATATATATGTTCTGTGGCATTACCGATACACACACACAGATTATATATATACACGAAATAGTCAATGAACGCTGATCACACTAATCTAATGACTTTTTTCTTTGCAGGGATATTCCTGCGCGGGCCCTAAGCCTCTGGCTGGCCCACTAAATGTTGCTTGTTTCTGTTTTACTTGGGCGGAGTATGAGTATTTATGACTCGTATGGTCGCTTCAGTAAGATTTTGCCATATGTGTTTAACAACTTCTCTGTTTACACTAATGACTAATAAACCACATGTGATAGGTCAAAATATTGCTGAAGTTCTTCTTTCAACCCTATTTAACTGGGGCGTCATTAGTAGCAGAGCTCACCCAGCGTAATAGTTAGACAGTCAGCTTTAGTAGTTTAAACGTTGTTTAAGATTCAGCTACTCGAAGTAGCACAGGCTATGGTGAACCCGTAGAATTTCCACATTATGCTATTACTTTGCAAAGGAAAAACCTTCCATTCTACTGTAAGCAAAACAAAGTTTTTATTCTATATAGTCCTACTGGCTTAACGCTTACTCTTGGTCAAAATTATTCTGATAAAAAGATAATTTATCTTAATTTACTTATCTCGTTCGTTTTGTGCTTGTTGGACTGAAGCCTTGTTTCCCTTCCCTTGCCAGGGACCATGCATGCATGGGTATTTGTGTCATGTTTCTCCCAGGAGGCTACATATGATAACATCACAATATAACAAATTTTGTTCGTAAATCTATAAGAAAACTGTAGTAGAATAACGAGTACTCAGCCTCATCTTTGGGCTGAGTTTCTTTGCAAAAATAAACAATTTGGTGGTGGCTTTAACGCTAAATTATTATTGAAAGGAACAGGTGATAATGTGTTAAATTTATATTTAGATAACAATCAAATTCATTTTTTGTAAGATGTTATCTTTTGCGATATCGAGTGAATGTTTGGGAACCTTTCTTTACGATATCACTGTGACTCAATGTCGCTGTCTGTGGACCAGCTGCTCAATGATGAAATCGTAATTCTAGTTAGTTATAATCTTAGACTTCCTATATGCAACCTGATAAAAATAACGCACCAATAAGTTCAACAAAACCTTGTAGATCAGAGACAAAGTGAAGTCAACACTTCCTGTACCATCTTTACGAAGACACACATGTCTATGGATCATTTCGAGCACGACTATTGAAACTATAAAATACATCTCAAAGGGATAGAGTAGCTTAGGCTACCCCGTACCCCTTCCCAGTCTATGGATCATCCAGTAAAATCAGCAGACTCCTAGAATTTGCTACTGCTTGGCTTAGGCTAGGCTAGGCTAGGCTAGGTTAGGCTAGGTTAGGCTAGGCTAGGCTAGGCTAGGCTAGGTTAGGCTAGGTTAGGTTAGGTTAGGCTAGGTTAGACTAGGCTAGGTTAGGTTAGGCTAGGCTAGGTTATAAGAATCTTTGGGAGTTTACACCACCACCTGCTGATGTAGACCTGAACAAATGTAAACTATCAGCAAAATTATTCGCACACCCTCAGTCACTATGTGGTCAAAAGGTAAATGAATTTAGCAAGTTCTATAAGAAATGTTCCAAAAAGGTGTATCTAATTAAGTGATCTACTACGAAATTTTTTTGCCATCTGTAAGTGGCTGTTTACGCTAAGCAAATCAAGTCATGTGTAAGCAACTCACCTCAAATGTAAATTGCTTAACTTACAGACTATTGTGGTCCAGTTCTTGAACCCATGTTGATATAATTTGATTATAATAATTCATTGTGTCGGGGGGACAGGCAGCCAGTGTGTATTCATACACGTTAGGCCTATATTGATCCCCCCCCCCCTCCACACCACCGAGAACTAATTACTAACCTCGCCCAGGATGCAACCCCACAAGAAGCTGACTAACTCCTGACTACCTACTTACTGCTAGGTAAACAGTCGCATTGGGTCCGTGGTGTAGTGGTAAGACACTCGCCTGGCGTTCCGCGAGCGCTATGTCATGGGTTCGTATCCTGGCCGGGGGAGGATTTACTGGGCGCAATTCCTTAACTGTAGCCTCTGTTTAACGCAACAGTAAAATGTGTACTTGGATGAAAAAACGATTCTTCGCGGCAGGGGATCGTATTCCAGGGACTATAGGATTAAGGACTTGCCCGAAACGCTACGCGTACTAGTGGCTGTACAAGAATGTAACAACTCTTGTATATATCTCAAAAAAAAAAGGTGATAGGAAATGCGCTAAACCATTTCTGTCCCGCCCGGGAATCGAACCCGGAACTGGGGTCACAATTCCCACAGATTGGGTCACGCAAGTGGGGTCTCACAAGGACAAGATGAAATTTAAAGATAGATGAGATGAGATTTTATTACAAAAGCTTCTAGAGATGACTCCCAGCACGCTTTTGGCCATATTTTGAACATTCATGATCTGTCTGTCTGTCTGTCTTCTTGGCTTTAGATCCACGTACGAGTGTCGTCTGTAATGGACAGGTGGAGCGGTGTTTCCTGGTCAAAGGTAAAACAGAGGGAGGAAATCATGCCCATTCATTCTTGGACCATTGGGGATCGAACGTTGACCTTGGAAAAACCAAGGTCGTTGCTCTGTCGACCAGTCTAAGTGGATGGACCGTTTCTGGGCCAAAACATACCTCAGAGTCTGATCATTTGTTTTCATCAATTGCGGTTATATTTACAAATGTTATGGCTTATAACTGTCATATTTCTAGTTTGAAAAAATGCATGCCTGGGACGAATTATATCCTTGGAAACATATGAGCCTCTTGAGTATAACTCCTCACAGTCGAGGTAAAAAAAAAGACTTGAATTCTGAACCTATGGACTCTCACTAGATAACGATCTCTTATCAGAGCTTCAGCCCCCCCATCAGCGCCTAGATACATCCCCCCTCTCACCACAGCTGACCACCACACGCTTCCATCATATTTTTATGTAACATGGAAATATACAAGAAGATCTTGACAGTATTGTGGATGCCCGGCTTTAGGCCCGCCCTACATAGATAGAATTGACGGTAGACAAGACTGGGAGCCGGATCTCAGAACACACTCAAGCCCAGATCGTAATCATGATAAGATCCTGAAGATAAGACTGTCACCGTGGCGTGTTGGTGGGTTGAGAAATACGAGTGATAAGGTTAAACTCTATATTGCCGATCTGGCCATCGGGGGAGGCCATCCATTTGATAACTGGGATGGCTTGGGATTAGATAACGGCTCATGGATACACAACGATAGTCGTAACAAATTCAGCTCATTATCTGCTATCGATAGTGAATACTGATAGTGGGATATTAGCCTCGGTTAAACACTATATAAAGTTGTGTGAATTCGAATTTGTATTTTGCAACTTAACAACTTGCCTACAATCAATTTTACAATTGCAATGTAAAACGAACAGAAATTTTATCATTAACGCCGGCGAGAAACAATGGGCAGAGTTTCTTTCACCCTATGCCCCTGTTACCTAGCAGTAAAATAGGCACCTGGGTGTTAGTCAGCTGTCATGGGCTGCTTCCTGGGGGTGGAGGCCTGGTCGAGGACCGGGCCGCGGGGACACTAAAGCCCCGAAATCATCTCAAGATAACCTAACATTCAAAACGGATTAATATTGTTGGTTCAAAGCACGTCAATAATGTAACCCATCCTACATAAAATTACAGAACCTCTAGGTACTATGGATGGAATTGTACAAAAATATGGAGTGTTATACCCCCCAAAAAAATCAGTGCTATACTGTCTTTGTCCATCTCATCTACACCTAAGAATATTTTGCATATCACGATCATCGCTCTACTGTCCAACCACTTGGGTTGGACGGTAGAGCAACGGTTTCACTTCATGCAAGTCGGCGTTCAATCCCAGACTGTCCAAGTCGTTGGGCATCATTCCTTTCCCCCCATCCCATTCCAAATCCTTGTCCTCACTCCCTTCCCAGAGCTATATAGTCATAATGGCTTGGCGCTTTCTCCCTTATAGTTCAATTCAATTCCCCTTTTCCTATGTTAATGTGTCGTGAGACTTTTTTATACTAATGACAGAGAGGTACAGATGATGAAAAAGCTAAATAAATGTTGAATATATTTCACGTAGCAGATGGAAGTAGGAAGGTTTTAACTTAGTTCATCTATTATGCACCCCATACCCATCTTTTGGGCAGTAGCTGGCCCATCTTGTGGGCAGTGGTGTACCCCATACCCATCTTTGGGGCGGTAGTGGACCCATCCTGTGGGCAGTGGTGTACCCCATACCCATCCTGATGG